TGAAGATCATGAATTAGGTACAGGTTTTTTCGTACATAAGAGAATCGTATCAGCAGTTAAGAGGGTAGAGTTCGTTAGTGATAGGATATCATATATAATACTAAAAGTTCGCTGGTGTGATATCATCGTTACGAATGTTCACGCCCCAGCAGAAGATAAAATTGATGACACAAAGGATAGATTCCATGAAGAACTAAAACATACATTTGATAATTTCCCGGAGTACCCTATGAAAATTTTGTTAAGATATTTCAATACCAAGGTAGGAGGGAAGACGTTTTCAAACCAACAACTGGGAATGAGAGTTTGCATGAAATTAGTAATGATAATGGAGTTAGAGTAGTAAACTTTGCGACATCAAAAATCTTACTGTCAAAAGTACAATGTTCCCACATCGTAACATCCATAAATTTACTTGGACATCTCCGATGGGAAGATACACAATCAGATCGACCATATTTTGATAGACAGGAGCCGGCACTCAAGTATACTTGATGTCCGAACATTCAGGGCAGCAGATTGTGATACTGACCACTACCTGGTGGCGCTAAAGGTTACGGAAAGACCGGCAATGAGCAAACAAACAACACGCAGAGTTCATATGGAGAAGTTCAATCTCAAGAAATTAAATGAGGTAGCGGGTAAAGAGCAGTATTGTGTTGAAAACTCAAATAGGTTTGCAGCTTTGGAAAACTTGGTCACTGAGGTGAATGTTAATAAAGCTTGGAAAGCTATTGGAGAGAATATAAAAATGTCTGCCAAAGAGAGTCTAGGTTATTATGAACCAAAGAACCATAAGCCATGGTTCGATGCAGGATGCTCAGAATTATTAGATCAAAGAAAGCAGGCCAAATTGCAATGGTTAAATGATCCAAGCGAGTTAAATTGGGATAATCTGAACAATATAAGATGTGAAACCAGCAGGCATTTCAGGAACGAAAAGAGGGAATATTTGAAAGAAAAAATTGATGACCTTGAAATGAACAGTAAGAACAAGAACATTAGAGACCTGTATAGAGGAATAAATGACTTTAAGAGGGGTTACCAGCCTAGCAGTAACTTAGTGAAGGATGAGAATGGTGATCTGCTTACAGATTCCCACAACATTTTGAATAGGTAGAGGAACTACTTCTCCCAGTTATTGAATGTACATAGGGTCAGTGATGTTAGGCAGACAGAAATCGATACAGCTGATTCAGTAATACCTGATCCTAGCCCTTTTGAGGTTGAAAGTGCTATTGAGATATTGAAAAGCTATACATCGCCAGGTAGTGATCAAATTCCGGCAGAACTTATTCAAGTAGGAGGCGAAATATTACGTTCTAATATCCATAGGCTAATTACTTCTATTTGGTATAAGGAAAAATTCCTAGGTCAGTGGAAGAAATCTATTATTGTACCGGTTCACAATAAGGGTGATAAAACTGACTGTAGTAATTATCGGGGATATCACTGCTATCAACTTCATACAAAATTTTATCCAATATTCTTCTCTCAAGGTTAAGTCCATACATAGATGAAATTATTGGGGATCATCAGTGTGGGTTTCGACGTAACAGATCAACTACAGATCAGATCTCTACAAATCGTCAGATATTGGAGAAGAAATGGGAGTACAATGAGACAGTACATCAGCTATTCACAGACTTCAAGAAAGCCTATGATTCAGTTAGGAGGGAAGTACTGTACAATACTCTGATAGAGTTAGGGATACCCATGAAACTAGTTAGGTTGATTAAAATGTGTTTAAACGAAACGTATAGTAAAGTCCGTATAGGTAAACATTTGTCTGATAAATATCCTATCCATAATGGCCTAAAAGAAGGAGATGCTTTATCGCCACTCCTTTTCAACTTTGCTTTAGAATATACCTTTAGGAACGTCCAGGGAAACTAAGTGGGACTGAAATTAGATGGGACACATCAGCTGTTAGAATATGCCGACGATGTGAATGTACTGAGTGATAAAGTAGATACCATAAAGAAAAGCACACAAATTTTAATTGACGCAAGTAAAGAGGTTGGTCTAGAAGTAAACACTGAGAAAACTAAGAATATTTTAATTTTCATTTTATGCATCCTGTTGTGTTTTAATATATAACTTCTTTATTAATATCGTCAGAACACAACTACATCAAGGTCAGTGCCTGGTTTTGACTCTGCTGCGTGTTTCGGCAATTAATATCCATCATCAGGCAAATACATGGCTATAATATATATACACCACTGAACTGCAGTATTAATAAAATTGGATACAATAATATTAATTATATTAAAATACTTGACGTAAAAATATAATAATTTATATAAAAAAGAAATTATAGTATAAAACAAGAATAACATTTTTCAATTGATGCTTTACCTCATCGAGTCAGTCGTTGGTTTTTATGAATTTGTTTCGTTCCCATGGACAAATTAGAGTACTCTATATTTTGTATATAAAAACTCTTATTGGAGGCTCGTTATGTAAATGTAGTAATATTAGGCACTGACCTTGATGTGGTTGTGTTGTGACAGTCTTAATAAAGAAGTTATAAGTATATGTTGCTGTCTCGTCACCAAAATGTAGGGCAAAATCATGATATAAAAATAGGAAACAGATGTTTTGAAAATGCGGCACAATTCAGATATTTGTGAACAAGGATAACAGATCGAAACCTGATTCAGGAGGAAATTAAGAGGAGATAGAACTCGGGTAATTCTTGCTACCATTCAGTCGAGAACTTTTGTCTTCTCCTCTGCTGTCAAAACAACATAAAAATTAGGATATACAAAACTATAATTTTGTCTGTGGTTCTGTGGGTGTGAAACTTAGTCTCTCACATTAAGGGAGGAACATAAGACTGAGGGTGTTTGAGAACAGGGTGTTGAGGAGAATATTTGGACCGAAGAGAGATGAAGTGACAGGAGGTTGGAGAAAATTGCATAATGAGGAGCTTCATAACTTGTATTCTTCTCCAAGTATAATTAGAATGATCATGTCAAGGAGGATGAGGTGGGCAGGGCATGTAGCACGAATGGGGAAGACGAGGAATGCGTAAAGGATATTGGTGGGAAAGCCAGAAGGAAAGAGATCACAGGGAAGACCAAGGCGTAGGTGGGTGGACAATATTAAAATGGATCTTAGACAGATAGGATGGGATGGAATGGATTGGATTGATGTGGCTCAGGATAGGGACAAGTATATATAATGATTTTCACCTCGTGATTACTGGAACAGAGAGAAACCTGTCGTGGAATTGGCCATGTTGGTGGAAATACAGTTTGTATGGTAGTCATATGGAGTAGCGTCCACAAACACAAACGAGATTTATCAGTACAAGGCATAAATTTTGTTCACAGTTTTCTTCGAAACATAGCCTAAATTGAACGGGCCTATACATTTGTAAGATCTGAGGTTTTCACGACGGTTACTATGAAGAATGCCGTCTTCTGGAATGTGGCGCCGTGTAGATCTTGTGTAAACTGACGTTTATGAGGAAAGTATCGCGATACGTTCGGCCGAAACGTCAGTTTAAACAAGATCTACAGAGTGCCACATCCCAGAAGACGGTATTCTTCAGACCTACACACAGACTGCTAGGCACAGAAAAATAAAGTGCAGACATTTTTCCTTGTAATTTAGTAGCTATACAACTATGCGTAAAGGCGGCCAGCAAATACGGGACGTTCTTGCTTACATATTGCCACGTGGTTAGTGACTATACACTGAGTTTTGATCGCTATTTGGATTTGCTGGACTCTTAAAACTCGTAGCTATATACTATATAATCATAAAGATATCGCTAAGTCACAAAGTTTACAATTCTCTATTCTCGCTCACTGAGATTTCTCAGGTCGTCTTCCTTGGTGGTTGCCCGGTAATGGGTTCCAGCTACGGAGATTTCTCAGCTCCCATGTTCAATGGCTCCTGGCCTCACTGGGCGGCTCCTTCACAACTCCTCATGGTTGCAACTCTCCCCATTCTTGGTTGCAATTGTGTCTCACAACTGACTTTCAACTGAAATCAAAGTCAGTCGGCTAGTCTGTCTTGGTGTCAAGCACCCACCTGGGGCCCAAGAGAAGATTTCTATTGCTCTGAGACACTTGCAGGTTTGTCGATGCTGGGCGTCCTCTCTGAGAAGAGAACGGGTCTGTCGATTACAATTGCTGCTGACCCTCGTCAGCACAGCCATTCTCGAGTCCCAGTCCCACATAACCATATTTTACTGTCTCCCACAAGGGTCCCACAACCTGGAGGGCCAGTTCCAAGTAATTATATCCCACAGGAACTGAGTAGCTCAGGCACTTGGTTCTTTTTTCGTGATATCCTGCGATGCTCTAGCTATATAGCCTTGGAGTGAACCAGTAGAGAACACTGTTTCCGACAGTTCCTCAGTTGCTGCGTCAAGTGTTCACTGCAGCGGAAACAATAATCGGCCGTTTCCTAGCAACGGCCGTCACTTCTGGCTCCTGTATTATGGTTTCAGTTCTCATGTAGTAATATTAACATGCTTAATACGAAGACGCGTACATATACATATACCTATATCACCTCAAATCAGTTAATTGAAAATCCCATTTGCAAACAGACTGTATATCGCCAGCACGGTGTCAGATACATTCAGTCCTTTGCGTTCTTATAACACCGCGATTATCTACAACTCCAGGCGTAATGACACAGGTCTCCACATCATTCCCTACCCGAATGTTTAGCTTCCAAATACTTTCTATCATCTGGAGTTACAACTCCTTTGATTCAATATTTTGATACGTGGACGTTCTCCCAGAACGGTCCTGGATAATGTAAAATAAAACTCCCCATACGACAAAGTTGTCAGGAACACACAACAGAGGGTTATTCACGTCATATTTCAAAATTTTCAGAATTATCTCCTTACATCCCTTTCAGAAATCTACAGCAAATGAACTGCCAATTCTGCTGTCGTTATGGTGTGTCAGGCTTTCGTTTTCGTTACTATAACTCATTATATTACACAAAGAAAAGGTTCCAGAACTTACCAACCCCACTCCAAACTCTTTCCTCGCTTTCCTGTGACCAGTTAGCAGCCGCTCCGAACAGGTCATCATACTTGGCAACCAACTGACTGGCTCGCACCTCAGCGAACACGATGTAGTAGTTCTGCGGCGCAATGGGAAAGAAGCATTGGGCCTTGTCACCGAAGTGGGTCACGTTCACGCGTCTGCAATGCAAGAAGATCATCACTGACTGTTTTATCTTCCTTACTAGCTCGAATAAAATACGAGATTTTTCAAATGCCGATGATTAGAAAACAAGAATCTCCTTACTTTCGGGTCCTTAAGAATAAATATGAAGTTTTTTTATATATTTTGAATTGCTAATTCTAAAGATATATGTGCAAATACCTTGAATTCCATTTATGGTATTAAGTTTTGAATTTATCTCTTAATAGCGTAGTTATTTATTTTTTCTTACAACCCTCAGAATTAAATGAAGTATTCAAATTTATCGGAAAGAATTTATGTTTTCTTATTGAAAAAATGGGGGTTATTTTGTATTCGGGAATATATAATAATTGCTCAAATCACATTTGGACATATCAGTTTATGAAAATATATCTTCGCATTTCTCTGAATGACTTGGATTTCTTCCTCACATGACCTGATCCTACTCCAGAGTATCATCACGTAAAATATGTAGTTCTGTAAGCTAACTAAATTTATTAATGAACGCGAAACATGAAAGGGGGTATATCAAGAGCTAAGGGCGACCTGACATCAAGAATAATTAGTCTTCCTCTTATACTTATGAAACCTGCAGTATTGTGTTGTGAATTAAGAGAGAGGGCAACGTAAGCAAATGAATGCCTATATCTGTTGGGGGGGCAATTCACTAAACTTGATGCAACCCGTACAGCTTCGATGAAAGAATTCTATGCCTTGTTCTGCAAGAATATGCCTAGAACGTGACAAACGAACAGTCTGTTGCTTTCATTTTATATTCTGTGGGTTCTGACAATATGTGGATACATGAAACGTGATCAATGCTTATCAACGATTGCGAATTAATTCAAATATTAGAAAAATTTTCTTCAAAACTGGAACAAATAAACTGTTAATACAAACCAGTGCAAGAAAATTCTGCCCAAGTTCTGTAATCTTACGCTCATTAGAAAAGGGCAGTTCAGTGGATTCTCCAGCTGGGTTGAGAAAGAAGCGAGCAGGGGCGGAAACCCTAATAAATCAGTAAGACTGTGTTTATTCTTAAAGTTTCCTTATTCGGATCTCTATATTTTCTTGTGCCCTCGACCTAAGAGTAAGGTTTCGTTCTGTGCAATTAGATATAACTGACATGAAAACAGTACTTTTTTTTCCTCTGTGTTCCCCAGTGGGCCGATCCCTTGGTATTTAAATAACTATGAAAGGATCCCCAGTCCACCAAGTACGGGTTAGTGCCCCAGTTTGCAAAGTCAAAAATCGAAAGTGCAGCCAAGAAGAGTTCTGCCTCCTTTGATACGTAGTATAGGCCGTTGAAAGTCAACGGGGTTTCCGAAGAATATATCTCCATCCTAAGTTTCGAAGGATAAGCCGATCACGTAAACCTGTTTCTTGAAAGTTTCATTCTTGGCTTGTACCTAGACCCTAAAAACGGAGAAGATATGTTGCTCTGAAACGTCGGTTGACTTGAAACAGGTTACACGGCCTTATATCCTAGATGAGAAATTTTTATATGACCACCGCTCTGAGAACCTCAAATACCATAAAAGCACGTCAGCTTTTAGAAAATTTCCTTCTTCTAATGTTTACAATCAAGCATGTATAACATACAGTAAAATAGAGCCACCTACTACAATTAATAATGTGCTATTGTATTCATACCAGTCAGTTTCTCTTAAGTAACTACAGTGAGAATTCGAATCCCTCAGTGGATCAGTTGATGCCTAATTGGGCGAGTGAGTGAATAGCTGTATATTCAGTTAGTAATTAGAATATTAGCAACTTAGTCAGTGACACAGCAAATGAGCCAGTAATTGATGACTGAGATGGATGAGGGACAGTAAATGACTAAAGTAAAAAATGTAAATTTATCCCTGGTCTTATCTAATTAAGCACTACGCCATGAAGGCGTATAGGGAAGTGGATGTACATATATCCACGATTTCTTGACCTCGGCACTAGTTGGAGGTGATTGGCCAGCTTCACTTCCCTGCCACTTTTCCTCCGGGGAAAGACTCCACGGTACCCATTGGATAGAAGGCTGGGTGGGGCCCAGTGCCAGACTGCACTATGTGTAGAAAAGAAAAGTCTTGACCCTACCGGGGCTCTAACTCCGACCTCTCTGTCGTCCACCACATAGCCAGTGGCTAGACTTACTAACCTATCCGACTCCTAAGTGACTTAAGTAGTTGAATTAGTTCAATTATTAAGTTATTAGTTAATCTGTAAGCTAGTAATGTAATTACTCTGTCACTGACTGGATCTGTCAGTCAGTCAGTCGTTTGGTTAGTCTGTCTGCCCGAGAGCCATCAACCAAAAATCAATTTCAAATAACATTACTCGTTATGAATCCTTCAATTCATTGTCATTGCTGTTAAATGTAGGCGTACAGAGCTCTCAAATTCACACACCCATATTCGAAATACGTGCATAATTTTACAATTAAAACTTCAGAGTGTTATTTAGAGCGCCATGTAAAACAAAAGGCGAGATTAAACATTGAACAGACAAATATTACCACCACACTGTGCATTCTTTAATGCAATTCGTTTAATGAATATGGAACCAATGTATGTATATCTACTATTCACATTTTGAATACCACAGAAATATTGTCACGTACATGAGTGACTATAGACGGGGTTTGGATTGGTGACTCGATTTATTGATCACTTATACACATAAATCCTGACTGCACTTTACAGGTCACTATCACACAGACTAGTGTCCTCAGTCTATTACAGTCTCCTAGCCGTTTTCTGACAACGTATTTTAACACATGAACTATATTGTCTCACTGACCTACACTCTCAAAATATCATACATAAATCTTCACAGCCGGAAACTCAACTTAGCACTCTTGCAACTAACTATTTGCCTCAAACCGTCCCCGGCATAAGATCTCGTGTCAGAGCACAGAAAATACAGTTCTTTTACTAAGTCTCTATTCATTGCAGCAACGACGGCGGCGCGGACCACAGGAAACACCGTTCCTCTGTTGCTGTATCATTGTTGCTTTCGTATCTGTAGCTGCGAGAACGTATTTACCGAGCTTTTGCTCAGAAACTGCTCTGGTATCATATTATATTATATTTAAGCATCCTGTTACATTCCACACTTCTATATATATAATATAAACTCCGTCGTAAATGCAACACTTTATTGTAGTTCTTGTCCCCCTTCTTTCACACTACATGTTTCGGCCGCAATCGGCCATCATCAGGTGTATTTCACTTCACGTAACTATCACACTGCACTCAGTATTAACATTTAAACTCCAGATTTCCAATTGTTTGTTTTCTGTCGTCTAGCGGCACCCCATATTCCAGAATTCCCCTTGTCGGTTTTGTCAATTATGTTTAAAATCTTTATTAATATTGACTCGTCGATTTGTTTAAAATTTTAAATTCTCAATTTAGCTTTAATATTTAAAATTTTAAACCAATCAACGAGTCAATATTAATAAAGATTTAAACACAATTGACAAACCCGACAAGGGGAGATCTGGAATATGGGGTGCCGAGTGACGACAGAGCAATGAACAGTTGTAAGTCTGGAGTTTAAATGTTAATACTGAGTGCAGTGTGACAGTTACGTGAAGTGAAATACACCTGATGATGGCCGATTGCGGCCGAAACATGTAGTGTGAAAGAAAGGGGACAAGAACTACAATAAAATGCTCTGGTATATTTGTTTATCTCACTGCCGTGGCTCTACACGCTACAATATTCATATCACAGATGTGTGAAAACTGGCAGACTACACTTCCATTTATGGCGAAAGATCCGTGACGAGGGTAGTGAGAACCTTGCCCCATTCGACATCACGGTTTTCCTGAATTCTGATTTCATACATTCTTGTCATAATCACATAACATCTGTTTAACCCTTTCAGATTAAGTTAAGAGATGAAGTACTCCGCTTGAAGTTTGCAGCTTTTTATGTTTGAGAACAATCAAATTTGTTCCGTTCTTTCTCGTGAATAAATGAGTCAAAATTTTGGGAGTTATCAAAAATACAATTTATGTTCATGTACATCGCGCGTATAAATACACCAGCAAAAGAAGAGAGCAAATGGGTAGAGCTTGTAAGCATAAATATATGCGTATTGAGAAATTAGTTATCTTCCATGCTCATTTCACTAGTCAAAACGTCGGGGGTTCCAACCCTCTGGTCCCCCTTTTTGTGAGACTGCCTTCCTTCCCAGCATCCCCTTCATCCATTTTCTTTCCTTCTCTTAAATTTTGTCCTTCCTTTCCTCTTCCTCCACTCAAGGGTTCAGAAAAATAGATTATAGAAATGAACACAAGGTAAATTTAAAGAAATTTAACAATTTTGATTTCGTTTTAAGAATTTCAGTTTATAAATTATAATTCCATTACATCTATCTTTATCTTTGGCTTCAATTATTTGGATTTAGAGCCTTTGCGAGGTGTAGTTGTTGACCATTGCAAGAGAGTCGTTTATTTTGCCTTATGTTCAAGCCTGCTTCTGGAAACTTCAGCATTGAGCTTTGTTGGCGGTCACAGCAAATGCCAAATGCACAGGAATCTCAGTTCCGGAAGTTAGGTCTTGCCTCTTCGGGGAAGTGGCAACTTCTCTGTGATCTGTCAGTACTTCACGGAAGAGCATACGTCTGGAGTTTCTGCTCTCAGCGCCATTTGCTTTTGCTTATTGCTGTAATTTCAACAACGTCTGGTTACCGTACCTGATATTCGTGCAATTTTCGCCTCTCTTATTCTGGCGTATCCATACTTAACGCCTACTCACTTCTTCCCCTCAGGGCTTACCTTACACTGATAACCTTAATGTGCACATGTATAAAGACTATGACCGTCTCATATTTTATTTTTTTTATTCTTATTTGGGTGAGACTGAGTCCACTTGATACTGTGTCCACTGTTGGCCTATTGTCCCAGCCCCAGATGGTAGATTATGGTGACTATGGAGCAATTGGTGCAATGATGATTGACAAGAGAAACCGAAGTACTCGGACAAAAAGTTCC